AGGAGGGCTGCTTAGGCAAAAAGGCTTCCCCTCTGTTCCTCAGAGTTCCTTACTTTAAAGCAGGGACAGCATGGTACCACCTCATTGGGATGCTAAGAGATGCTCAGATCAGTGCCTGGCATGTACCAAGTTTTCCGTAAACACTAGTAACATTAAACATGTGGTAAATTGCATTGGGCCCCCCTATCATCTGCTACTGGCTGTTTATTGTGAAATTAACATTTATTGAGTTAAGACCAATGTTTCATTTACTATTGACTGGAAACAGACAAACAAAAAAACTTTGACGTGTAGCTGTCATGATCCCCTTCTGTAGATGAGAACACGGAGGCCCAGAAACTTTTACTGACTTGCTCAGATCATACAATGAAGAAGTGACAGGGAGGGGCGGAAACCCAGTTTTCCTGACTGGAAATTGAGGGCTCGTTCCATGGCGCCACAGCTGCTTTGGCTTCAGGCAGCGCCTGGGCCCCGCAGCCCTCCGCTCCCTTCCCGTAGGTGCTGGCGCTGGAAGCTGGCGGGACCACCTGTCTGCAGGGACAGCTCTGAGCTCTCAGAGCTCCAGGCGCTCAGCTGCCAGTCGCCGCGCACACTCATGTAATCTTAATGAACAATGTGCAAAGCCATTAAAAACTCAATTTGGGCTTTCTTTTTACTGCCAACGTGAGGAAATGCAATCGTGAGGTGCTCATGTGTAAACACAATAGCCGCCATCTGCTACGGAGAAGCATTTTGCCTCCAAAAGGGGGATCTATGCTTCAGACACATCAATAATGGGGCGCTTATCAAGGCGTTATTATGCACGAAGGGGGGAAAATGCAAAATTTATGGCCAGCCGGAGAGCACTTCCTGGTTTAATTTCACAGTTTTCGGTGCTATGTATAATAACTATGAGGAAACTAATGCTGTTTTATGTCCCTTATCACGTCAGTGGATTTTTGAGAGAGAGAGAGAGAGAGAGAGAGAGAATGTATTTACAGTCTTCCTCTTTCTTGTTTCTGACTGATCCCGGCATAATGACTGGCTCATTTTTGATCTCCAGGAAACTGGCAGCCTCGGGATGATAGTAATTAAGCTAACCTGTTGATGAAAGCGGGCCCCACTGAGCCGCTGATGCCTGAGGGCTTCACTCAGGAACAGGCTGTAAAGAGGCAGGTCTGTGCTCAGCTCTCAGGTCCGGCTCCCTTCTTTTGGAGGGACGTGGCCACACCTCTGTAGAGTTGGCTGGATGCCCCCTCCCCTAGGACTCCGTGCTTGCGTTGCTGGATGCTGTGACTTCCTGCCCCTGTGCCTTTGCGCGTGTTGTTCCCTCTAATTGAAATGCTCTCCCAAATCATCACCAGGCACACTTCCATGGGAGGGATCCCCACTGCGGAAGAGGACAGGCTCACACGCTCTGATGTGTGGAGTTTAGCGATATACCCCCTAATTTCTATTTATATTTGCGGATGTATACTAACCTGGTGTGGCTGAGGATATTCCTGGGGAAGGGGCCTTAGGAGAGAAAAATGTGATCCCTGTGCAGTTAGGATCATGTGTCCTGCAGACTGGAGGGGCCTGTTGTAGGGACTGACTGTAGGGCCAGGGACAGAGAGAAAATCCATCCCAAAGGATGATGCCAAGTGGAAGTGAGAGCTGAACTGTAGGGGACATGGTGCTAGGTGAGTGTGCATCTGGATGGAGGAGGAAAAGAAGGCATGGACGGGGGTCTGCAGAAAGAGCTGTCCCTTGAACCCTGATGATTTCGGGGCTAAAGCAATGCTGCTGTGTGTCCTCTGAGTGTGTCCCAGAGCAAAGAGACACTAATGAGGACCTGTCCAGTCATTGAGACACCACAACTGGTGGCAAAGGCAGATGAGGGATCTGTGCCTGGATGTGCAGCGGGGACAGGGGGTTGCCATCATTAAGGTGCCTTGGGGATTTGGGGGGATATATAGGGAGTATTGCTAGGAGCTGGAGTTCCTGCAGGTACAGGTAGGGGCTGGTAAGATTCCACTGTCAGGGTTCATAATGTGCTCATGAACCGGTGAGGTTTTTGTTGTTCAAATCCCAGCTCAGTTTAGCTCAGTCCTGGAAGATGCTGACCCACCTGGCTGAGTTCATCACCCCGCCTCTGTGTCAAGACTGGATTTCCTGCTTGGTCTCTGGGATCGCTGCCTCCGCAGCTAGAGGCACCTTTCTCACGGCTGCTGCCCTCTCGACACAGCCTGTGGTTCACTGAGCCCTGGTCCACTTAGTTCCTAGCTTCTGTTCAGACACTGGGATTGGGTGCACCTCTTGGTGGCGCCCAGATCGTGTGCCCAAGTCTTAGTGACCGAGGAGACTGGGAAAGTGGGCATCGGGCTTTTTCTTTTAGATAGAGGAACGTGGGCCATGCTTCAAATGTTGGTGAGATGCCCCAACCACAGGAAGGGAGTTCAGGTATTGAGTGGCCAAACCACAGGGCAAGTTTCTACTTCAGATCAAACATCTGGTTAACATGGAGGGTGGCCTGAGAGCAGCCTATTTCTCTGAGCCTCGCACCAAAACACATACCTTTCTGTCTAGTCTGAGGGCCAGAGCATGCACATTAAGTTACACAAATTGACATCACGGGCCAGGGTGCTGGTGGGAAACATGGTAAGCGTCCCTGACCCAACCCAGCGCTGGCCCACCTAAGACACTAATTCTCTTAATGAAGCTCCAAGGTATGCCTTTTCTTCTCCAGGATTCATCCTCAGAGCCCAGTCTTTCCATTCTCTCCTCTCTTTCTGCTTTTTACCCAGGATGCTGCTTGTAATGATGTTCCTATTTGGGGTGTCTTATAGCTTTGCTTGGTAGCTGTCATTACTCATCTCATCTTCCTAAATAAAGGAACTTGTACAAAGTAGGGACTCCATGGGGGGTGCCAATAATGAGAATGCTAGCTGCAAAAATAAATGACAGAATTTGAATGGCTTAATAACCCAGTCATAGTTGATTCCCTGTTTACTAAAGGCCTGAAATGAGTGTTCTCAGTAGGTGGGTGGGCTTTCTCATGGCCATGGCCATTCAGGGACCAGGCTCCTTTGGTTGCAGCTCTGCTGTCACTTAGGCTCCTGGGCTCCTGTGCTTGCAGCTGGTGGGTGGGAAAGACAATGGAGCGGTGATGCTCACACTTTCATGTGCCTCCTACAAACCAGCTGAGGATATTGACAAATGCAGACTTGGATTCTGTAGGCCTGGGATGGGGCCCAAGGTCCTGCTTTTCTTACAAGCTCCCAGGGGTGCTGGGCTGCTGCTCCAAGGACCATCTTTTGAGAGACAAGATAAGAGAGGATGGAGCAGTGGGGGTCAGGGAGGGTGGAGGCCTGACCCCACTGGCTAGAATTCCGCTGCAGGGCCCACTACTCCATAGAGCAGTGGTTCTCAACCTTCCTAATGCCGCGACCCTTTAATACAGTTCTTCATGTTGTGGTGACCCCCAATTTCATTGTTACAAATTGAACATAATTAAAGCATAATGATTAATCACAAAAACAATATGTAATCATATATGTGTTTTCCGATGGTCTTAGGAGACCCCTGTGAAAGAGTCGTTCGACCCCCAAAGGGGTCGCGACCCACAGGTTGATAACCGCTGCCTTAGAAGGTCCTTTTGCACTGAAGTGTGCCTTCTGGTGGTTCCTTTCAGAAGTCTGCCCTCTCAGGCACCTGCATCAAGGAGCTGTTGCCACAATAATGTTGCCTAAAGTACCAAGAGGGAACCCAGGGTTAACAACAATGAGCACTTGCTCTCACGCTCATGGTCTGAGCATCGAGTGTGGTTCTGCTGATCTAGGTTGGGCTTGTGGGCCCTGTGGCTGTGCTTCTTGCGGGGGGTGGCATGGCTTGGTTCTTCGCTGCCGCCTCTGCTCAGTACTCCTTCACGTGACTCTGTTCTCCATCCCAACCTGAGGGGCAGCAGCCACCTGGGGGGCATTCTTCCCATGAAAGGTGGCATTTGTGCAAGAGGGCAAGCCTCCCCTTGGATTGTTCTGTTAGCATCGTTGGACCAAAGCAAGTGCAGTCCAAAGTCACAGGATGGGGACACGCCCTCCGCCTCTTCTGAGAAGCAAGAGGCTAAGGACACAGATCCAGGGAGGGGCAAAGAACTGGAAACAGCCCTTTAACCTGTCAGAGCAACTCCATAGAGGCTCCCCTCCTTCCTAGGAAATAGCCTTTTAAGTCCTGAAAAGACTAGTCCTGTTTGCTGCCAGTAGTAATGAGAGCATACACTTTGAGGCTGGAGCGAATCTGGGTCTCATCGCTCCCTATCTGCGTGGCCCAGGGCAGGCCACTCAGTCTTTAAATAACAGGAGAATCCCCCGCCCCCCAGGGCCATTCTGGAGATTAAATTGAATGATGTATAAATAAGACCCCTAGCATCCCACTGGGACTCCTTACGTGCTTAGTATTCCTTCCCCTCCTTCCCAGGCCGAGCATCTCCCAGCGGTTCTTCATGTTTCCTCCCAGTCTTCCTTGCTGAGTGGAATCAGCGTGTGCTTTATACGCCCTCCTCTGCTATGCCCTGTCCTGAACGCAAGGCTCAGGTGGACTGTGTTGGAACAATGACACCTTCCGTATTGCCAAGGTTGTTTCCACTGAGACAGCCAACGCTTATGTGAGGTTATATGTCACCCCATTTTACCCGTGGAGGTTGCCATTAACTAAATTCCTGGGGTTTTATGCCATGCTTCCTGCAGGAGCTGCTGGATGTAATGTCTCTTCCGTAAGTGTTCAGAGCGTCCACTTTGTAGAAGTGCGTTGTACATGTTACTAGCTCTTCATTTTTAAAACCACCTTGTTGAGTAGGGTTGTTATTCCCAATTACAGAAGAGGGCGCTGAGGTTGAGAGAGGAGATGTGGTTGCCTCAGGTTCAACCAGCCCCTGCTGGAGTGACCCCATTTCTGGCCGCCGTGTTGAGGGGTGTGACCGATTTTCAGGAGGCTTTTTCTTTCTTTCTCCCTGTCTCCTTCCTGCCCCCTTTGCGGGTCTCCAGGCTCCTTCATGATGGTGAACAGCTCCGGGAGGGCCTCCGGCCAGAAGGCCCACCTCCTCCTGCCCACCTTGAAGGAGAATGACACGCACTGCATCGATTTCCATTACTACTTCTCCAGCCGCGACAGGTCCAGCCCGGGCGCCTTGAACGTCTATGTGAAGGTGAACGGCGGGCCCCAGGGAAACCCCGTCTGGAACGTGTCCGGCGTCGTCACTGAGGGCTGGGTGAAGGCAGAGCTGGCCATCAGCACCTTCTGGCCACATTTCTACCAGGTAGGGGCTTTTCCATGGCTCAGCTTCTTTTTTAAGTTAACCATAAACCCGCTCACCTCTTGCCTGCCTGGAGTTGTGCAGTGGAGAAAGGACTTCATGTGCTCACTGGCTCCACTCATGTTTACTGAGCTTCTCCTTCTAGCAGGCCCTGGAGGAGGAGACTGATGGATAAATGATGACAACACAGCCAGATACATTTGCGTTCCCACAATGCTGCAGGAACATAGACATCGAAGCCTATTGTACAAGAATTGATGAGGGAGACAGTGCTATCCAATGAGGAGAATGCTATGATTTTCCCTGTTTTACAGATGAAGAGGTTGAGGTTCAGAGAGAGGAGATAACTAGTCAGAGACCACCCCTGGAGAAGAGGGTGTCGGTGGGGGGAGGGGTTAGGATGGCTTCTCAGAGGAGATGACATTGAGGCCGAGTCTGGAAGGGTGAATAAGTGATTATTGAAGAAGGAAGAAAAAGGCATTTGAGTTGTTAAGGATAGGGCAGGCCATGGGCTCAGGAAGTGGGTGAGAGATTTTGGCAGAGTTTGGACATCTAAGTGGACTAAGGGGAGGTTGCAAAGGAGACATACAAGGCATGGAGCCTGCAGGGGCAAGGAGGTCATGTGGGCCCCGAATGCCAGGCCAAGGACATTACCTGTATTCACTGCTCTAGAGCAGTGCTTCTCACACTCTCTGGTGAAAGACCAGTCCCCTCCCCAACTCAGTGTGGACCCATAGTTTTACAAATGGCAGTAAAAATGTCACAGCCGTGTCACATTGCTGTCACAGTTTCTAGACACCTCTCTCACTTTCCCTGCTCATCCCACTGGGGACTGAGACGCAGCATGCATGCCAGCCCCAGCCCACGGAGCTCCAGGTCATCCTGACCTGGGACTGTGGAAAGATTTTTTTGTAAACAACACTCTTGAGGTACAATTCACATATTATAGAACCCACTTATTTTAATTGTGCAATTCAACGATGTTTAGTAAAGCCACTGAGTTGTGCAATTACCACCACAAACCAGTTTTAGAACATTTCCACCATCCCAATAAGATCCCTTGTGCCTATTTTCAGTTAATCCCCATGCCCACTGTTGGAAGTGTTAAGTAAGAAAGTGACATAGTTAGATGTGCGTTTTGGATAAATTTCTCTAGAGTCTGGAGCAGAAGGTGGACCTGAGGGTGGCAAGGTTAGTGGCTGGGAGCTTCTGAGACGTCCTTCAGTTCAACATCAAGGTGCAGTCCTCTCAGATGCGTCATGGAAGCAGCCTAGACAATATGGAAACAAATGGATGTAGCTGTGTTTCAGTACAATTTTATGGACAAAAAACAAGTGATGGGCCAGCCTTGACCTCCAGGCCATGGTTTGATGAACCCTGATGTAGGTGATAGAGCTGAGGTCCAGAGATAGACCACGAAGTCCAAGAGCACACAGCAAATCACTGGCAAAGCTGGGGCCGGAGCCCAGATGCCTCAATGTGTAAATGCCAAGTGTCTCTATAAGCCCATGGATACCTCCATGGATACCTTCAGGTCCCAGTCAGAAAGCCCCGGCCAATGGGGACAGGATGGGGCCACAGGTGCAAGTATAATGAGCAGGGTAAGTGACCCAGGAGAGGGACAGTCACACTATTGGTCATGGTCTCTGATGGGGTATGGAGGGGAAACAAGAAGTTTCTTGGGCATCCCTATGTCCCAGCTCTGTGGTAAGCATATTGCCCCTCACTCACCTGTCCAGTAACTCCTGTGTTGGGTAGCAGCATATCCTGTGTTCCAGAATAGGGGATATTATTGGCAAACTTAGGTTCAGGTCCTGTGGCTCCAAGTTCAGGTTCCTCGTTTAGGGCAAATAGCCTTTCCATTCTGAGAATCTTCCACTCACTGGCTCTATGATGGTGAATGCATCTCATCATCATTTTGAATCACAGTTGTTTCATTTGTAAGACAAGACGGTAATGGGTCCAAGGAGGGGTTCTTCTGTGGATTAAATAAGGCAGCACATACATAATGTCTTGTCAGCAATTGTCAGAAGGAAGGAAGGAGGAGGAAGCCAGGGGAGAACAGAAAAAGAGGAAGAAGGAAGGAGAACTTTTTAAAAGAAATACTCTCTGTGGTTGAGCTGTCCTGGGTCAACTCTGAACCGGCCCTGTGATAAGCAGCTTCATCTGGGAGAATTTTATTTTCTGATTTCCAACTTGTTGGCCACTATAGTGCTGTTACATTACATTTCCTTTGCTCTGAGCTTCGTGGTGAAAAAGCCACTAATGTGCTGAGAGCAGCAGTTTAGAACAAACATGTGCGTCTCACACACACACACATACACACACACACACACACAGGCAGTAGTGGATGGTCTCGTGGCCATGCACCCAGAGTGGAGCACACACAGAGGCTCACACACCTGCATGCTCCCAGACTCACTCGGACTCAGGGGCACCCACTCACCCACTCACACATATGTCTGCGGGAGAGGAGAGGGGACCTATCAGGAGATTCGAAGACTTTTGCAAAATGGATATTAAATTCACCAGACCCCCAAATTCTGGTCCTGCATGTATGAGGCTGTGATACTAAATAGTTTTAGTTTTCAGTAGTGCTGGTTTTCACATATGGATGGCTTATGTATTCATTTATTAAAGTCATATTTCACAGTCCTACAATGGACTTTTAGCTCCGTAATAAACAGGGAAATTTTATCTTTCTTATTAGTGGGCGTTCTGGCAGGAGGCCTTGAGCAGGGCCTGGGGTAGGAATGTCCCTCTGCCATTCACCTCCACTCCCACCTGGCGTCTCTCAGGCCAGCGAGGGCTTAGCAAGCCCTGCTTCAGATCGCTGCCCCTTTCCAGGGGATATTAATTCTGTTTTATGTTTTTAATGATTCTGAACTTATCCATCCCAAGATTTTTTTCAAAATAAAAGAACTCATTATTAATTTTGCAGCCACTGGCTCCCTCTCTTCTCCATCACCTGCCTGGGTGAAATTACCTTTTATCCCGCAGAGTAATTGCTCTGTGGACCCCTGAAATTTAGGAGTCGCCTGATTTGGATTCAACTGGACTCGGAGCCCTTTCTCAGCAGTCCCTCAGGCCTCCTGAGCAGTCCCTGTAGGCACTCTACACTCTGCAGGTTTGGTAACTTCATGCACAGTTCAGGAGGATGCATTCCAGGGAGGGGGCCACTCCCACCCCCCCCACCCCCCCCCGGAACTCCACCCTGTCTCCTCTCTCATCCACCCACCCTCTCAGCTAAGCACCAAACCCTCCTCCATGTCTGCACAGGCCTCCTTGATTTCACCCTGAGCAATCCCTCCACCAGTTTTTACCAGTCATGACTCACATCACAGTGTCTGCCGAGTGTAAGAACTTCAGTGGAAATTTGGGGTGGGGGTAACAGGGGGTAGTCACATGGACAGTCCTTTACTTTCTCCCTGTCCCTAGATCTAGCACCATTCCTGCCTTTCTTCTAATTTCCCATCCCTCTCTCCAGAGCAAGAACAATAGTATTCGTGACACTTACAGATATCTTACCATGTCTACTGTAAGGCCTTGAGAATTATCAACTCATTTAATGGAAAACCAGAACATGCTTTCCCATGTTTCTTACAGAATATTACTCTCTCCTATTTGAGAAACCAGAATCTTCCCTTCCCTAATGCTTTACAGAAACATTCCCAGGAGGAGTTCTGATGAATGAAAGATACCCTGTCTCATTATAGAACTCTTATTTCTGCGAAGGAAGAAAAAAGAACAGTGAACAAATGTATATTTCACTGTCACACATCCATCCTCCCATGCCAAGCCTTGTGTTCCTTCATGGAGTATTTATTAATTATTGTGATATAGGATAGGTACTGGGTGAGGATATGAGAAACAAAACATTAGAAGAATTAAGTTAAACTGATTAACTGGAATAAAAGCCAGGATTCTGCTTAATCAGGGCTTTTGGTTAAGTGAGGGTGGTTCACCAAAGTTCAAGAATGGCCATGGTCATGTACTGTGAACCAGGAGACCAGGACCTCAACTCTCAGCCACCCGTGGCTTCCTTTCTGAGTTTCGGTAATTGGGGCTGTTGAGAGGCTAGTTCAAGGTCACATAATAAGTGGTCAGTATTGTGACCTTTATTATTGTGGGCATATTTCTCCGTTTGCATTATTTTATTATCATTCTGTTTTTGTTGATGAGGTGCCCCTCTGGTCAATACCCATTATTCCACTGGTATCCTGACACCAATGGACTGACTCCTGCCCCCTTTAGAATCTTGTTTCATCTGTCCCTCACTCATATTCTATGCTACTCCCCTGATTCATTCTTCTCTACCTAACATCATGTTCCAGTCTCTACCATCCTAAAAAATACCTTCTCTATTGGGCTTTTAGCACTTGGCCTTGGGCCCTAACTCTCATCTCTGAACTATCTTATCTGCCTTTCAAGGTGACCTTATCTAGTTCTATAACTTTATATGACACTTAGATGCCAAAGCTACCACATTTGTAACTCTGGTTCCTAAATTACCCATGAGTTTCAGAAACATAATGTCAGCTTCCTACTCAACATATCCATTATGATGCTTAATTGTCATCGCAACTTAACATAGCCACCAGGAAACCCTGACATAGCCGACCTGTGTGCCTGTGCATACGCGTTCATCATGTCACTTTCCCTATGTCAGTAAATGACACCAGACTCAGCCCAGAAGCTCAAGCTCTAAATTGAAGAGTCCTCGCTGAGCCTTCTCTTTCCTTCACTCTTCTCCTGTTAATCTAACAGCAGTTCTTTTCGTCTCTACGTTCGAAATCTCTCTTAAACCACCAACCTTTATTCCGTATAGCCACCACAGTTATAAACAATATCCTCACTTTTTTTCTTTTTATTTATTGATTTTAGAGAGATGGAGGAAAGGTGTGTGTGTGTGTGTGTGTGTGTGTGTGTGTGTGAGAGAGAGAGAGAGAGAGAGAGAGAGAGAGAGAGAGAGAGAGAGAGAGAGAGATTTGTTGTTCCACTTATTTATGCATTCATTGGTTGATTCCCATATGTGCCCTGACCAGGGATCAAACCAGAAACCTTGGCATCAGGATAAAGCTCTAACCAGCTGAGCTACCTGCCAGGTCCCAAAGCTATCCTCATCTTTTGATTGGATGACTACAGTAGCCAAGGGATAGGTCTGTTTGCTTTATTCATTCTCATTTGCCCACCTGCCAGTCAGTCCTTTTCCACAGATTGGTCTGAATATAAATTAGTATGTCTCTTCCTTGCTGTAAATCTTTCAGCGAATTAGAAGAAAATTCGAGCTCCTGACTATGTCATATAAGACCCCCAGTCACCTGACTTCCCTACACTCCAGGCTGGCTTCGTGCCTCTCTAGCTTGCTCTGTTTCCCAGCTTCCCTCTTACGTTCCCAGATCATCTCTGAGCTCTTTGCTTCCTTGTGGCCTTTGCACTTGCCACCACCACCCTTCCTTGTCTGGCCACTATCATCCTTCTGGTGTCATAGTGATTACCACCTCCTCAAGGTTCTCTCCTAAGCACTCTAAGGAATATGCACCCTCTTCTTAGTTACTCTTAAGCACAATATTCTGTTTCTTTCCTTCATAATGCCAATCACACAATTAGTTTGACTTTTCATATTGATTTGTTTACTTTCCATTTTCATTCACTAAAATGTGAAATTCATCGGAGCTAGGACCTCAATATTCGTGTTCATTTTTATCATGCAGCATGTGTCTCCATGTTTATTACAGAGAAGGGTGTCTTTAAATGTTGACTGAATAAATGAATGCACAGATGAATGAAGACACTTTTCCTATTGTCAATGGGTTTAGAGTTTAGGGAATGAAATGATTTGTGAGCAAGCAATGGCAATAGGGTGTGATAGGTGCTAATTGTATGGTGGTACATGGCATCATGATAATATAACATGAAGGGAGATATGCAAATGTACCATAAAACATTTCGTTTTTAGTATAAATATAAAGTAGCTCATTTTTACTGCAGAAATTTTGGAAAATCTAGAAAAGTATAAATCAGAAAATAATCATCTACCATAATTTCCCCATGTCATTAAAAAATTGCACTCATAGATTATTACCATTCCGATTTCATCTTTTGTGAATTGCCTACTGATGTTACTTGCCAATTTTCTTTTTTGAGAGTTTACTTATTTTGTTGAGTCTTAAGAATTCTTTACACAAAACAGGTCATTCACCTTTTTGCTGGCATATATAATTACAAATTCTTTCCAGCTTGCCATTTGACTTTTAAGTTTGTTTCAGACTTTGTTAATATACAAAACATATTTTGACATCATAGTTATTTCAATTTTTGCATATTTCAATTTTAAGAGATTGATTTTGAAGCATTTGTCATTAATTTCTAGCTTTAATGAATTTAGTTAGAAAATGTACAGAGCCAAACCTATATGGTTTCTTCTTTGATGAACTTATACTTTAGTCCAGTGGTTCTCAACCTTCCTAATGCCGCGATCCTTTAATACAGTTCCTCATGTTGTGGTGACCCCCAACCATAAAATTATTTTCGTTGCTACTTCATAACTGTAATTTTGCTACTGTATGAATCATAATGTAAATATCTGATACGCAGGATGTATTTAGGCGACCCCTGTGAAAGGGTCGTTCGACCCCCAAAGGGGTCATGACCCACAGGTTGAGAACCACTGCTTTAGTCTGTTATATGATCTTTGTATAAATAACCCATGAATGTGTGAACAGAAATTTTATTCTCTAAATTCATTAACATTTGTTTAGTAAATGCATCATTGTTTATATTATGTACATACTTGATAGATGTATTTTTTTCTGTTTAATTTGTCAGAATGTAAAATGTGGGTTAAATAGGTATAAGTGAGTTTTATTTAAACTGTAACTACTATTTGTTTGTTTCCATCATTTTCTTCTTTTAAGTCTATTGACTCCTACGTTCTTTTTAAAAAATACATTTTTATTGATTTCCAAGAGAAAGGGAGAGGGAGAGATAGAAACATCAGTGATGAGAGGCAATCATTGATCGGCCACCTCCTGCACCCCCAACACTGGGGATTTTGCCCACAACCCAGCCATGTGCCCTGACAGGGAATTGAAGGGTGACTTCTTGGTTCATAGGTCCACATTCAACCACTGGGCCATGCAGGCCAAGCCATGCATTCTTTTAAATGACCATTTTAGTCCACTTAATGGTTTTTGTTTCCCTTTTGGTTTAAATTCTGCTTTGATGCTTTTCCATTATTTTTGCAATAACTGTTTTTTGTTTATTTGTATTTCCCTATTATTTCCCTTTGTTCAACTTGTTGTTCTCAAGGTTACTGAGTCATTCTGCTTTAGGTGTTTATGTGATAGCATACGATTAGATTTTGTCTACTTGGACAGTCTGAGAGCTTTTCTCTATTTTAACCTATTTATGATCACAAATATTCTTGCTACTTTTGTCACTTTTATTATACAACTTGAATAGTTTTATACTTTTTCTTTATAAACGTATCTTCTGTATTTGTTCTATTTTCTTGTTATTTTTTCAATAGGACTTTGCTTTTGGTTTCATTTGAATTAATAAAAACATAATTAGATATGTGATTATTGATAGAAAGGCCTTCTGCTGACTTCCTCTCTGCGGGATGAGGCAGCTATCACTTTCATTTCTGCAAACTTTCCCCTCCTTCCTGCACGGTTCTGTTTGTTAACTCTCTCTGAAGGACCCTGTGTCTTAGTAAATCCCTCTTCCCCAGTGGTTGTCATGCTGATGCCAGCTGCTCTATGTTTGGTGTGACTGCCATTCCCAAGTCACTTCATGTAATTCCCAGGCAGCCATATGTTGACCAAGAGGAAGCTGCCTATTCAAAGCCATCACCACCCTCTCCACCAGTTCCCGTGGTGAAGGCAGTATTGTAAGGGGCTTGCCAGAGTTGTAATGAAGCTGCTATGGAAGTGGTGCTATAGGCAAGAGTGGTATGTGTGATTATCCAATGTAGTGGGGGTACCTCAGGCTTGTTGAAAATATAAGGTGTCCCAAAAATGTATGCACACTTTGAAGGATTATAAAGTCAGTGTTGACTAACGTACAGTACATTTTCAAAATTAACTGAAAATTAACTGAAAATTCAGTTATCAGCTGTTAAAATGTATATACATTATTTGGGACACCCTATATAGGGAGGTCCAGGCAAGCCTGAAAACTGTGGAAACTTGAGGTCCAGGGTACCGCATTAACCTGAGATCAGGTTTAAGAGGAATGAATTGGGAGTGGGGTGTGGGGTAGGAGGCTGTGCCAATATATAGGAAGATAGAATTTCTACTCTGTGAGGTGGAGAAGGACAAGTCTGAGCCTGTGGCTGACGCTGAGTGGGAGATAAAGCCATTAGAATTAGGGAGGTCAGTGGGTTGGTCTGGTTGTCCACATGGATAGTCATAGCTCCGAGATGAAGGTAGAGGTTGTGTGACAAAGAAAGCCATGAACTGAGCCATACAGTCTCTACTGAAATTAGCATTTTGGGTGGGAGTCAGAATGGAGAACTAAAAAAAAAAAAATGTTGCCCTTGGATTCCCAGATACCAACAGTTGTGCAGATTTTGAAAGGTGTTATTAAGAAATTCAGATGGACTGTTGGTGTTCCTTGGGGATATAGAACCAAGTCAGGATAAACCTCCCTTTTCTTATGGGAGCTTCCAAGGTAAGCTCCTCCCCCACCCCTCATAAGAAAGTTGGGATATTCGGAAGTAATTCTACTCTGTGTTTCACTTGAAACAACCATGAGAAAGGTGCAGATTGGGGTCTGCAGGCCATATTTGGGTTGCTGTTCCTGCATCCAAGCGTTGTTTCTGAAATCCATTAAGAATGTTCCATGTGGCTGACTCTCCTTTTGCTCATCACAAGGCCTTTCTACCTTGTTTTGAAAATCCAACTCAATTGCCAGGAGAGCATCCTAGCCTAATATAAGGCCTCTTTGGGTGATTCTGATGGGAAGCAGAATCATAAAGGGTTTTGGGGGGTGGGCAGATTCCTATGACCAGTGCCTACAACCACTTCTGTGAAATTGACTCCCGCCCTGTGTGTGTTGCAGGTGATATTTGAATCTGTCTCTTTGAAAGGTCATCCTGGCTACATCGCTGTGGACGAGGTCCGGGTCCTCGCGCATCCATGCAGTAAGTCTGTTCCCTTCTCCTAACACAGCCGTATTCCTCATCAGACTGGGTAGCTTGGGGGCTGCAACCCCCCTCTTCATTCAGCTCACAAACATCTCTCTCTCTGTTTTTTAATTCTTCCAAAGTGCTTACGTACTCAATGCAATCAGTTCTGAATAAATCCATAATTTTGCCGGCCTGTTCCACAGGCAGCACCTCCAGGAATTTGCAGAGACTGGCAAAACATCTTCGTTTGAATCTCTCTCCATTATTAAGGGAGTCTAAAGTCCTGATTGTTTATTAGTGGGATTCAGACCACTGAAGTGGAAGAATTAGAGGGCTTTGGATAGAATTGTGTGCAATTGTCTTTTTTTTTTTTTAAGAAAAGGAACAACACCAAAACACTGAAGAAATTAGTACACTGTTCAATCGCAGGGAAAAGTACCCCAAAGCTATTAATTTTTAAAAGTAATTTTAAATTCACTCATCAGATCTGTGTAGGCGTAGAGAAAGATTTCTCACAGTGGTTAGTACTTATGGTACAGTGTCAAGAGCCCTCAAGGGCATACCACTCCTCCATGCCAATCAAGTTTCCCCTTGAATTTCTCCCTCTTTGCTGTATTTATTGTAAGATAATTTGAGTGTGTTTGAGCAAGGAGCTGCAGTTCTCAGGTTCATTAAATCTGAGAGGGGACAAGTCCTGGATGTAGGTAGTTGAGATGACATCATATCCCATGTTGTGGGGGGAAGGGCTGTCGTCAAAGGGATGTGCGTGGGGATTATGGTAGCCCTAGGAGGACTCTTTGGGATGCCGGCCCCATTAGTTAGTGTTCTTCATATTGGAGATTCTCATCAGTTTCTCAGCAACCATCTGGTCCCAGGCAACTCTTAGTAGGGCTCTCTCTACACCCCCTCTGTAGCCATGAGTCATGCTATTGGCGATGGCACAATTTGCTGTTCCCTCAAGAGACATCAAGTGCCCTGTCCTTACATGCCTTTCAGTCCTCCCATTTGGGGTATATTCTCATTTCAGCCCCATCCATGCTGCTTTATTTAAACAACTCTTCCTACTCCTGCTGCAGTGAATGTATCAGAGCCTTCATTCCCCTGACACTAGAATGCCATTGTTTGACTCATTGCCTGGGAGCACCTTCTCTGGAGGAAATAGGGAAAGTCCCAAGGGGGTCGGGAAAGACAGTATTTGGGGTAACTGTGTTTGATGTTGGTGCAAGAGACCCTTCTTTCCCAGAAATCTGCCGGCATCTCAGGAATGCTGAGGTTCTGCTCCACTCTCCATTACTCTCTCTGGCTAAGGTACCCCCTACCCTCTGAGTAACTTTCTGAGTCTTTGGAATTCTCTCAATGGGTCTGGCCATTCAATCATGCCTGGCAAATGTCTCTGATGAACTAGACTTCATATGGAAAGGGTCCCAGAAATCCTCCCTGTCCCCGCTATGCAGGATTTACATAGTGGATATGCAGATGAGTCCCCTTTTCTGGGATTAAGTCTTCCCTTCCCTCAATTCCTGGCATCAGCATCAACTGCCCATTGGGGAATGAGCTTTGTCCTCAGTCTGGGCAACAGCATGGGGAGATGGCTACTCTAGCTGTTGGTCACTGAACCTCAAGCCTGCACTGCCATCAGTTTTGAGGCAGTCTCTCTGAAACAAGTCTCAGTCTTAGCCCCAGCCCTGCACACACCCCATCCTCAGAGAGGACGCTTACCTTTGCTGCATCCAGTGCCTTCCTGCTCCGGACCCTGTGTGTGAAGTTTGCCCTTGCTCTTCCTGGCAGGTGGTATTTGCCTCTTCCCAGGAGAATCTGGCCTGGTTCTCTCCCAGGACCCCATAACTCTGTGCTCTGATGAGAATTTGTACCTCCACCATGAGGCTCAACTGTACACCTGTCTCTGATCACAGCCTCAACCACCTTCAAGGTCAGATTGGCGAAGCTCTGCCTTGACTCCCAGCACCGTTCATGGTTTGCCATTGCAGCCAAATATTTCCTTCTCCTTGAGAAATCTCCAAGGGAGAGGGTCCCCTGGAGGGCACATGGATGCCTTTCTATCCCCCAAGTCTCTTGGCTCCTCTTAGAATCCTCCTCGGGCCGGGGCTGCTCCTGAATTTAGAATTCTCCTGACAGCCCCGTCCTCCTCCTGCTGAGGAGGTGCATTGCATGGTTATGGAATTACTGAGAGCCCGTTACCCAGCAAATGGGCCATGGGATATAACTCAGGAAGACGTGACCCTGGCTGAGTTCCTGCATAATGTGCTTCCGCCGAGTTCAGCCTTGATGCTTAGGCGGCTGAAACTCAAACTTCCCAGAAATCAAAGTGTGAGGACCCTGTGATAGTGGTTGGAATGGGAAAAATTCCATTTAGCTATGTATACATACACTGGCAGTACATACAGTCCTCAGAGACCTAGCCACCGCTCATGAGTCATGGGGAGTTGAGCAGAGCCTAGCCTACGCCCCTTCCCAAGGTCCCCTGCTCAGTCCAAGTCTAGTCCAGGTGTCCATCCATCTTTTCTTTCAATAAGTAGACTTTTGAGCATTAGTTGCATGTCAAGAACTTCTACTGGACACAGGGGATACCTAAATTTCAGGGTGCGTATTTAGCAGAGGGGCAGAGGGTGGGGATACACTAGATAAATAGTATTAAATAAATCACTAATATAATTTCAGATAGCGATGAGTGCTATGAATATAATAAAGGCAACTAACTAGAATATGGGAGGGCTCCTTAGATAGAATGGCCAGGGGACAAGTCTTTAAAGGCATGATCTGAGCTGCACCCTGAGTCACAAGAAGGAGTTCACTGCATAAGGGTTTGGGGAGGGGCATTCCAGGTAGAGGAAACGCAAGTGCAGAGGCCTTACAGTAGGAATCACTGATGGTGGGGGTATCTTGGGCATCGTGTGCAGGGAAGGTGGACTGAGCTAATACTGGGGCAGCGGGGGCGGGGGAGGGAGGGAAGCCCAGGCCTGACCATGCGGGGCCCTGAGAGTCATCATGAGGAGTTTCTATTGTAATCTAAGTGTAGGGGGCGCCATTAGAGGGATTTATTCTGGGGACTGATATGATCTCATTTAATTGTTAAAAGATCACTTCGGCTGCTTGTGGAGAGAGTTGAAGGGGAATAGAGTCGGGGGATCTATTAGAAAGAAAGTTCTGGATTCATGCAAGAGATCATGACAGCAGCCTAGACCAGGGGAGTGGAGAGGCATCCTCTCATCATTCAACAAGTGTTTACTGAGCAGGGACTCTCTGCCCACACTATTCTGGGTTGATAGGAATAAGACAGTTTCATTCTTTGCTCTCATGGGATTCCCTCAAAGTGAAAGAGACTGGAAATGAAACAAATACCAGGTCATTATATGAACTATAGCCGATGGTATATTCGTTTGCTAAGGCTGCCATAACAAAACATCACAGTCTGGCGGCCCAAACAGTTATTTTCTCACAGTGCTGGAGGCTAGAAGTCCGAGATGAAGAGGCAGGTTTGGTGTCCTCCATGGCCCCTCTCCTCTGCTTATGGATGGCCGCTTTCTCACTCTGTCTTCACGTGGCCTTTCCTCTATGCACACCTGCCCCTGTGTGCCTGTGTGCCTTCTCTTGTCATGAGGACACCCTTCTCAGGGCCCACTTTAACAACCTCATTTCTACTTTAATCACCCCTTTAAAAGCTCTCTCACCAAATACAATCCCAGGGTGAGTTATTGAGCATTAGGGCTCCGACATATTAATTTGGGGGTACACTTCAGCCCATAGCAGATGGCAACCCATGCTGTGAAGAAACATAAAACACAAAGATGAACAGAAGTGGATAGATTAGGGATACATTTAGGGGGTAAAGCTGACTGGTCCCATGTGATGGTTAGATTGGGAGCCAGAGGCACCAGAAATGGAGCATTCCCAGCTTTGGGGCTTAAGCCACTGGTACAGGCTCAGGTGGTGTGAGTCTGGGGAGAATTGTGTTCTGTCTTCCAAGGTACTGACCGTGCTCATGAGCTCACATGTCATGCAGCCTGCTGGTGGCTTCGGACTGTCCATTGGACTGACAGTGCCTTCTTCCCGACTCCAGACTAATATGAATGCATTTATAACTTCACTCAAAGATTGCTAGACATTTAACTAGATGGAGACATATGCTTCTCTCTATGTCAGGCTTTCTAATTCTCCACTTCTGTCCTCCACAACATCATTTCTATTAACGTGGTCAGCATTTATTAATAAGTATTCCAAAAGTTCCAGGGGGGTTGGTGCCCAATTTGCAATTGTATTCTTGACCAATTTGAGCTGGAGTTAGGGCTTTAAACGCTTGCCTTGCAGTCTCCAAAACAGTTAAGGAAAGATAGGCATACCCCTAGAAGGAAATTATTTTCCCATATGAACCAAAATCTCTCGTCTATATTTTAAAGCCCATTTAACATTTTTGTGTTATTTTAATAGTATTTCAGCCGCAGTTACCCTGAACTGTTGTTTCTCAGTGTTAGCTGATAGCCACTGCAGCTGTAACTGTGTACGAGAAATGTCAGCACAATTTTCCACCCAATTTCAAAGTTTCTAGCTAAATTGACTTTTAGAATTTTTAAAACTATTTTTTTACACCAACCTTGTGGGACAATGTCATTGAACCCGAGGAGTGTCTGCGACACGGTTCTGATGTATGTACTGAGCTTTCTCCTCAACTGTGTGGCTTCCCACTGAGCACTGTCAGGTTTAAAGCACGAGATAAAGGGCAGAATAATATGTCTTCAGATGCTGCAATGACATCTGCAGGAGTTTAAATGTCACCAACATCAAGGCATTTTACCCCAAATGCACAGCAGTTTTCTGATAAGCCCATTCAGCTGGATCCCATTTTGGGGGGGCTGAGTCTCAGTGGGGAGTAAGTGTGGAATGCTGGTCTGGATCCTGAGGTCAACTGTATTTGGCCGAAGGTCAGTGAGTTGAAGCTGGTGGAATGATAATGTAGATGCTGGGGGAAATAACAGTTGAGCGAGCACAGGGCTTAGAAGTAAACTGGAGAGTGGGGCTGGGTTGAGAGGAGGGTCAGAGAGATCAGGAGCTCAGAGAAGTGGACCAAACAGGTCGCCAACATAAGGAGAATGTCCACAGAGAGAGATGCCTGTCATGATCTGGGGATGAGAGCCCTGGTCTCATCAAAGATCAGAGACCATCATTGTTTCATATTGATGAAAGTTAACACTCAGGACGATTAAGCTTCTAAATTCTCTGCCACTGAACCTAGAAGGAAGGAAGGAAGAGGGATGGAAGATGAAAGAATCAAGGCAAACATTCTGCTTTTTCAAATCAAAAGGGGTGTCAGAAGAAAGCAGGGACATTGGACCAGAGAAGATCATTTCTAATTGCATAAATCCCAAAGGTTAATCCATCTGCCCACTGTTCCCCAAGGGCAAGGGGAGGCATCCCTTTATAAAGCCTAACGCAAAGCCTCCCAACACTACAGTTAAGAGTCTGAGCTCCCTTCTCTCATGGGGTAGATGTTCCCTTTGCCCTTTAAACCTGTGGCATAAATGGGCTTCGGGCTCCTGGAACATATTCCGATGTGAAGAATTGACTTGAACGGATAGTTCCAAAAATAACTGCAAATTATATAGGAGAGCAGAAAGGAAACGATTTCAGACAATCAGAGCAGCATGACATGTGTCAGGTTGACTAGATGCAAGGAATCTTCAACTCTGAGATGCTCACAGGAGAGGTCTTCCCTGGGCCCTGGACTGTTGACTCCACTCCAGCAGGGGTCCGGAAGGTAGCACGAGGGGGTCTCTGAACTATTGTTATTTGTTAAAAACCAGAGCAGAAGGTATATGTTTTTGCACCAGCGTCTGCCTAATCTCACCAAGGTTCCTGGTTTTGCTGAGCTTTAGAGGTGGTGATGCAGTTTGGTAGACCAGATAGTTGAGAGGGTGAAGGCGATGGGGACGAAAGGTAAGGAAAGTGATCACTGGTGATAAATATTTGGGAGCAATGAGAGGAGCCTGGAGAATCAGCACAGCCTTTCCTGTGAGCCCTTTCTTTGAACCCTAGGGTCCAGGTGACATCATTGACCTCCCTTTGCCCAGGAAACAAGAGAATGTGCTCATTAAATGCTGATTTGGGGCTAACAGGGACCTGGTCTGAATTCTGTTTCTGTCATTACTGCTGTGTAGCTTTGAGCAAATTAAACTTGGTGAGCTTTGGTTTCTGCTTCTCTAAAAGGGAAATAATATTAGTGTTTGCTTTACAGGAATGTTATGAAGTTAAATTAGATAAAATCTCTAAAGCATTTATCACAGTACTAGTACCTGGCATTGTAGGAGCTTTCAAATAAATGACATTATCATTATTATTTGTGTCTCTGGATATTTGACTCGCTCTGGCAGATAGGCCCTTTTGCACCTCCTTGAGCCTCTTAACAGCCCCCCATTTGATCCCATTCTGGGAGTGGTTGATGTGATAAGGACCCATGGCATTTTTGTACCTCATGGAAGAAGGTCGTTCTTCTAGGTGTAGGTTATCAATCCACTCGTCTTTGAAGTGCTTACATAGGTGAGGACTTATCTCCACAAAAAAGGAGATGGCCCCAAGTCACCCAGCATATGTTTGATTCTAGAATTGATCGCTTATAGACCCTGAGTTTCTTTTGAAAGTCCTTTCTTCTGTTTGCCAAGCCCCCAAAGTAAGTTCCCATTTCCTTCCCATCTTTCTGAGACACCGTAGCTTAGAGTGAAGAATGTAGACAGTGAACATTTTTTGAGTTTTCTGTGCCTCAGTTCACTTACTGTGACATAGAGATAAAACCACCAACTGCATCGGTTTAAAAGAGCTACTGGGTAGACACTGCGCATGACACCATGCACAGTCCACCTATGGGAATGAAAGCTACTAGCATCTCCCCCTCCCCTCCCTCCCCACCTCCGCCCTTTCTCTCTCCTTCCCTCTCTTCCTCCTCAGTATCTTCATTAGTAACAAGGCCAGGTTGGAAGTCCGAGGCCCAAAGGTGCTTCACTTCAGCTTTCTTCTTTCTACTCACCCAGGCTATAGGAGGAATTTTCTATGGTGAACCCCTCCCCCAATTTCTTCTTCCAAACATGGCAGTTTTTCCCAGCAGTTAATATGGATTGGAGGTCCTCAGAGACCTGGATTCATGGTTTGGTTCCCCCACTTTCTGGCTGGCTGGCTGTGCCAAATCATGTAACCCCTCTGAGCCTTAATTTTCTGACCTGAGAAATGGAGATACTGCCCACCCCATGGATTTTTGTGAGATTTTAGGCAAGAGGATGCATGAAAGCTCTCAGAACATACCCAGCTCATAGTAAGCGATCCATCAACAGTAGCTCCTCACTGAGCCAGGCCACTTCCCAGGAACACATTCCACCCTGCCAGGTGCTGTGCTGAGCTGCCAGGTGCCCACAGGGAAGGCGGTTCCCACTGTTGAGATCTGTTCTCATGTGCTCTCTGGTTTCTCTCTTAGGAAAAGCACCTCACTTTCTGCGGCTCCAAAATGTCGAGGTGAACGTGGGTCAGAATGCCACGTTCCAGTGCATTGCTGGCGGGAAGTGGTCTCAGCATGACAAACTTTGGCTCCAGGTAAGGATGGGAGAGGCCCCCCCTCACACCTCAGTAAGAGAAGAATGTACTGCTGCGATGAAGGACTTGGTGGGGAAGGGGAGTACCTCTGCTCCTTAGATGATATTTAGCATCCATGATCTTATTAAATAGCAATTAATTCTATTATGTAGGCATCAGCAGTCATAGTTTCGCTCCTCTTCTTGGATTTGAGCACATTTCCCGCAGTTGGAAAATCCCCGGATGCAGAGCGCACCGCGGGGCTGGCTGTTCTTCCTTGCTCCTTAACAGGACAGTAGACTGAAAATGACAGTGATGCCTGCCTCTCCTGCTCCCCTGGGCTGCCTACTGACCCAGGAGAACACAGCACACTTCCACGTGTCACTCACGTATTACGTGGAGTTATTTACTCTTTTCATTATAATTAGTGTTCAAGTGCATCAGGCTCCCAAGAAGCTTTGAGCTGAGCCTTGAGAAAGAGACGGGACAATCACAGCACTTTCGCATCTTTATTTGGCTTTCCCAATTTTATGATCGTTATTGCTGCAGTTCTGAGTTGCACACCCTACGCCTTGAGTCTATGGGTGGAAGGATGTTAACGCAGAATGTAATTGAAGTTTTGAAGAAAATAGGTGGGGACATGTGGCGTGGCTCTCTCCCTCGCCTGATTTATCTACTTTTCAGTGTAAACCAAATCCTATCTCACAGAATGCTTTCCAGGTGGCTTACGATGGCACATAAAACGTGACAAGATAGCAGAAATTAAAAGTGAGGCGAGATAGAAGGAAAAGAATGTGGTGGAGCTGGAAAGAATGCTAACACGGTGTTTCTCCACGTCCGCCGCTCATGTGGGCCACAGCAGCGGAGCCGCCAACGGAATAAAGGCAGCTTGTCAGATCCACAGTTCCCAGTGTCCACGAGATAAACATGAACCAATTGCTTGGGAAAATTCTAACTGTGGTTCACACGGGCCAGACAGGAATTGTTCCCAGGAGTCCTCATAAAGGAACAGCCTGTGATGTAAGGAACTGCACTCGCCGCTGCGGTCTTAGCGAGGGCACGCGAGTGAGTTTCATGGGCTTGTTGCACATAATGATGCTTGGCGTAAAGGCAGCTTGGGGACGTGGCTGAGGAGAGGGAGAGGGCGGGCGGTGGGCAGTCAGATTTGACAGAGGTCTCTCGCTCTCTGCTGATCCATCTGTGTCCTGGGTTTCTTTTCTGGTATCTGGTGAGTGAACAGATTTAATATTTCTTTAAGGAAACCTCCCCAAATATTGTCTCCCTCGTCTGTATTTCAGGAAATATTGGGAGACAGACAGTTCCTCTATGCACTCCGGCAAATGCCTGCTTGGCTAGTTAAGTCCAGAGTTATATCCACCAGTGTCGTTGGAAATAGGTTAACATCTTTCTACACCTGCTACCCAGGAGACAGCTGCAGCCTGGATCGGAGACGGGCTGAGGCCGTGGCAGATTTCTTATGCAGTTTTCCTATGGATTTGTTCCAGCACCTAGAGGTGCAGTCTACAGACTCGCCAAAGCTCTGCTCCATTTAACGGCGCTGGGGCGACTGAGCCTGAGAATTTCCAAAGGAATTGAAATAGACACATCGTGACCAAGAGTCTCCACAAGACACCCACCGCAGGTCTAAGTTTCAGCAAGGCTATTTCCTGCTGTCGCTTCCAAGATAAGCCGAGGAATCTCTGAGTCAGCAAAGGCAGAGACCGTTGTACCCACCAGTTTTAAGTCGGGAAGGAAGACACTTTGTTTCCAGAATAGCATGTCAGTGGCCCTTCTTTCCGGCAATGGTTGGGGAGCAGTCGGTTTGAGATCAATCCTATCACCCGAGTTGTAGAGAATGCTTGCCTTCCTTTCTACAGAGCAGGACTCTGTAGCCTGCTCATCCTTAAATGGGTTCAGGTGATAAATTAAGAAGTTAAAAAGGAAGCCAGCCCGTACCCCTGCTTTACAGTCTCCTGGAAACTCAATATGCTCTTTAGAAGACCCCATCTGCTAGTGCTGGCTTTCACGGGGTTACAGCGTGAGTCCTGGCTACGAATTCATGGACAGAATCGTGCACTTGTGCCTAGAACAACTCTAATCCTGCAGGGAAGAGGCTGATAAAGGCCCACTACAAGTTATAAACAGCTCATCTCGTTCTGCGATGATTCCTCCTGAGGTGAAGAGTAATGCACAGTGAATGGTGCACGTTCTGTGGCCTCATTCATAACTTGCTGCTTTCTTGTGGGATACTTTAGTCTGAAGGACCCAAACTGGCACGTTTTCAAGCATTTTTTTCCAAACACATAGACAGTGTGCATTCTCAGTAGACTGTCTAGACCAGCGGTTCTCAACCTGTGGGTTGCGACCCCTTTGGGGGTAGAACGACCCTTTCACAGGGGTCGCCTAAATACATCCTGCATATCAGATAATTACATTACGATTCATAACAGTAGCAAAATTACAGTTATGAAGTAGCAACGAAAATAATTTTATGGTTGGCAGTCACCACAACATGAGGAACTGTATTAAAGGGTCGCAGCATTAGGAAGGTTGAGAACCACTGGTCTAGTCTAAGGTTTGGGGAGCCCTTTACAGTAAGAAGAATACTATGCAGGGTAAGGTAGGCGTAACTGGACCGCCAGGAGGAGCAGTGTAGCTCAGGAATGCATGTGGGCATGTTTCCTAGAAGATCATTTGGCAATAGATACCCAAAGCCGTACATGTGCACATCCTTCCAATAAGTGATTGTACTTATGGGAGTTTACTCAGGCAAATAACCAGAGACAGGAAGATTATCTGCCAGTGTGTTCAACAGGATGAAAAACGGAAAACAACCCACATGTACAAAAAAAGGGACTGATTAAGTAAATGCTGGAATGGCGTCATTAAATTCCGGTTATAGAAGTCTCTCTAATGACATTGCCACCGTATGTATTTAGGTGAAAAGAGCAAGTTTTAAAAACAATTTATATGTTCAAGGTATTCATTTTTATGAGCAAACATATACAGCAGTCCCTCCTATATGCACAGTTTCAGTTGACTGTGGTTAACAGTGGTCCTAAAATATTAAATGGAAAATTCCAGAAACAGACAATTCATTTGTGTTAATTAGTATGCCTTTCTGCGCAGTGTGATGAAATCTCAAGCGTTCCTGCTCTGTCCCACACAGGCTGTGAATCATTCCTTTGTCCATCGTGTCCATGCTCTATAAGCTACCCCACCTGTTACTCAGTAGCCACCTTGTTTATGAGATTGGCTGGCACAGTATCACAGTGCTTGCGTTTAATAACACTTATTTTACTTAATAATGACCCCAAAGCTCCAGAGCAGTGATGCTGACAATTCGAATATGCCAGAGAGAAGCCATAAAGTGCTTCCTGAGAGTAAAAAGATATGTATCTGTGAAGAAACATCGTGTATATTGGGTTTGATATTATCCACAGTTTCAAATATCCATTGGGGTCTTGGAACTCATCCCCCATGGTTGTGGTGGAACTGCTGTACTGTGTGCTTTTTATTTTCATCTCTATTCTTTTCCATTTTATCTAAATACACTAAAATGAGTGTAGGTAACTAATATAAATAGAAAAATGCAATTAAAATGAGAAAAATGGTCCAGGATATTTTAAGGATGGCAGGAAGCCTTAGCAGGGTGTTGGGGTAGCTCATTCCTCAGTGGGGGTAGCACAGGCCCCCGCCCCCTCTTGAGGCTACAGGTAAAATGACCCTTGGGTTTTCCCCACACCCTCATCGCCACCATCAGCTACTCTTTTTGTAAAACACACACACACACACACACACACACACACACACACACACACACACACCATGTTTTTATTGATTTCAGAGAGAGGAGTGGGAAATAGAAAAATCAATCATGAGAGAGAATCATTGATCAGCTGCCTCCTACACACCCCCTACGAAGGGATTGAGCCTGCAGCCCAGGCATGTGCCTTGACTGGGACTTGAACTGTGATCTCCTGGTTCATGGGTCTATGCTCAACCACTTAGCCACACCAGCCGGGCCCATCAGCTACTCTTCATCCATGAGGGGATTTAGGAGTATTTCCTGTATCACCTGGTCTTTATGGAAGACCGTGGCCCATGGGGGCCTTGCTCACGCTTCTCAGAGGTTCCAGAGGAGACCCTATCAGCCCCACTGCAGGACTAATTTGCAGGCATCCCTACAAAGGACTTGCTCCACCAGGGGTTTTTACAACAAATAACATTTGAAGAGTCCCAGAAATAAGGCCATGTGTCCAAATGTTCTGCACAGATCTCTGCAAGAGCCGCGTATGTGTTCAGACGAATCACAGGCATTGAGCAGGGTGCACACCCTAACCTGGCAGGAAAAGGATCCTGCCTCATGAGCGCATCAAATGCACAGCAGCTACACCAGGCTGAGGAGATAAGAGGACACATTTATCTTTGCTGCAGCCCAGTCTCCCAGGAAACCCGTTTTCTCGCTCCCCGCAGGGCTAGCGCTGGCTCCCAGGGCTGTGAGTGTTCTGGAAGCAGCTCCTCCCTCTGCACCTGTACCGGGTGTTCCTTGCACTGTGGGACTTCTGTTGAAAATCTAGTGGTCGCGCCATAGCTAAACAATAATGATAAATTAATAATACTCATTCCGGCTGGTGTTTATTGAGTGGTCACACATATGATGTATTTCATTCTCATAACCTGTATTTCATGCAGATCTTATGTCTAACCCGTCGTATAGACGAGGGGGCTGAGCCTTAGGGGGTAGATGAGTGGCACAGGTCAGAGTCACCCAGGTCGTGCCTGGTGGAGGCAGCGTTGGAGTGTTGCATGTGTCATATTCCTAAGTCCTGGGCTCACCCTTCCACGCCCACCTTCTGGGCCTGTCACCTTGTGTCACCACTCCAGCCTTTCTTTCCATACAGATGGCTTTCTATTAAAGTAATCATCTGTTTAGCACATACTGACATGCCTCTCATTTGCACTGTACTAGATACTTAAATAGAGTTGAGTTTCTCAAATCTACATAGTCAATGAAATAA